AAGCTTAGAAAACTGCTTGGCTCTTTTCACCTCTGCTCCTTTGCAGAGTCAGGCCTACAGTGCAAGTTTGTCTATAAAAAAATTCTGTGTGCACACTTAAAGCTACAGTGTGCCAACTCCAGGCAGCTTGGAAACAGACCCATGTCTGATAGCCCTCACCACTAACTGGTTCAGTAGGCCAGTGCTTCAGCTGGTATTTTTCCATTTCTAGATTTAATTCACTTCAGATGTTACGCAAGACCACTAAGACCATTTGCATCATTAGACTGGGAAACGATGAAAGTCTGCATCGCAAGGTAAGTAAAGCTGTGGAACAGGCTTAGCACTTTACCTCTCATCTGTGGGAGGATTTGTGTCTCGTCCAATCCCACAGCCAGCTGTGACTGAAGTTTCTCGTTTCAGTACGCACCTGCTTTAATTTTTATGGCTTCTACTGCCTTTGGTTTTCTTTAGAAGTAGTACTATTTAGGCCTTATCTACACTATTTTCATACCAGTGCAGTTATGTAAATGCAGATGTCCATTGTATGCTGCAGTTTACCCTGGTAAACCACACCAGTTCAAGCCCCTTTCCATAGATGCAGCATCTACATCAGTGCTGTTCTCCTAGTCTAGATAGCCTCTTAGTCACAGCTGCCCAAAAACTGAAAATTAATGCAGTTTCACACAGCAGCTGTATAAAGGATGCAGGATTCTTAGGGTTTTCTATATTCACAAGTTGCACGGATTTAACCTCAGCCAGTGCACCTTCTGTGGTTTAACTAGTATTTGTTCAAAACTGGTTATCAGTTGAGTTAATGCTTAGCATACTCCTCTACATCTACAGGCAAGTATAGGCCAGATTTAAAAGTCAAAAGTGTCATTAAATTGCACTAGTCTAAATCAAACCAGTGAAAAGCCTTTAATTACAACTTGTACTTGGCCTTAAAGGATCAGAAATAAGTTTACTTGTTTTTCACCTATTAGCTACCCTACTGCTAGTGCCAGACTATGTTGCTTTTCCCTACATCAGTCAACTAGGGGCAGCTACTTTAAGTTTTGAGAATAAGGACAATCAGTTATTTGCTCAGGAAGGCATTTACATAGCTATCAATACCCTATTTATTTTAATGAGGCATTGCTTAATCGAGTGCAATACAATTTACTGGCCAAATACATCTACATAGAGGGTTGAAACAGTACTGCTCCAGCATATAAAAATGGGGGGGACCTGTGGTCAGGAGTAGTTAAGAATGCCAAGTGGAAAAAGTACATGATAAAGAGAATGAAATGCAGGGTAAGAAAACACCATTATTTTTATCAGCAAAAACAACGAAGAGTCCTTGTGGCACCTTAGAGACTAACAAAAGCCCACAAAAGCTTATGCCCAAATAAGTTTGTTAGTCTCTAAGGTGCCACAAGGACTCCTCGTTTTTGCTGATCCAGACTAACATGGCTACCACTCTGAAACCTGTCATTTTTATGTTGTTCAAGCAGCTCTCAGCTGAATAGTAGAGGGTTGGGTCATGTAATTTTGTACATTTCTATGTAAAGGTTATGCCAAAGCAGCAGCACTCCCAAACTTTCAGAAACCCACCCTTTGCTCACACCAGAGAGATTTTGCCTCAAAAAAGCAGGAGCATAGTTGTTTATGGTCAGTGATTTGGGAGCTAGAGGTCAAGGTCATGTTGCATTACACACCACTCAGTTTCACTACTTAAAAGTAATTTACAGAAAGCCTGATGTACATCTAAAGCCATTAGGAGCTAGTGTTAAGTGAGCACCTCTCTTTATTGAGAAAAAAAGTGTTTGAGCATTTTTTATTCCTCAAGCCTAGAACTCCTTTCCAATACATACCTGTGTTTATATCTCCAACTGTAGCTTGTTTGAAGTGACTGTAGATGTACAGCATTTCTTCATCTGTCGGTTGAGACTTCAGTTGCTTAACTTCTTCAGCAGCTTTATCAAACTCAGCCTAAATGAAAAGATCAAAGGTTTTCTATGTTGGTTTTCACTCTTGCCAGTAGATATTAGTTTAAATCTTGAACTGACAAATCTAAGGTCTGCTTGAAGATGACAAAATAGCAGGAAGAACACAAACAATTAAAGTTGAAACCAAGTCTCATGACTGGAGTTTACATGAAGGTGAGACAAGAGATTATAAACATTGCATTCTGTGTAGCTAGAAATGCTAATAATTGTAACACTTACATTAAAAGTCAATTGAACTAGGTTACTAACCAGTTTGTGCCCTGTAGGATTAGGAGTGAAAGTCTACTATTGTGAAAGCAGGATCAGAGATGTTTGCTACAAATATTGCATGGGAAAAGAAGTTGAGAAATCTGCAGTGAGGATTTGGCAGAAAGGAGGCCTTGAACACAGCCCTAAAATGTTAAGCTTCCCCACCTCTTAACTCCTCCAATTAAGAAAGTTCACTTAGTGATTCTGAGATTATGTAGTCAGACAGCTGGCACCTACCATTTTTGCTGGTAATTACTGGCCATTTCCCACCCTATCCATGAAGTGAATGGCCCCTTCTCTGCTCTCCACCCCCATCAGTTTATTGTCTCGACATGTTACACAGCAGATGTTTATACAAGTGGTTTATGGGCCACTTGTGTAAGGGAAATGCTATCCCTTATTTTATAAAGCTGCACCTGCACACAAACTTAAAGTAGTTAGCATGTCCTCATACTCTTTAGCAAGCTACTAACTCCACAACTTGTGTCCTAGTTGTTACCAAGCCATCAGAGCTCTTGGATGTGTTAAGAGAAAGACTGCAGCCTCTGGAACAGAGTCTTCTTTCCCTTGACACCAGCATAACGCCATTGGCTTCAGCAGTGCTTCTTCCAGCTACACTGGTGTGAATCTTGATGATCAGGCCACTTGTTCTTCACCATGGCATCTTCACACCATGACCTTACTAGCCCTACGGACATTGGGCTCGCTCAGTCTCCACTACCACCCAGGACGCCCTTATGCGACCCTCTGCACCCATACAAACGCCTCTCCCTCTGTAAGGCTAATACCACCCCCCATAACTACTTGCAATAGCAGCACTACACAGGCCTCGGGTTAGTGGGAGGTGGAGAACAAGAAGGATGCAGCAGACGTGCTCTACACCGTCTATAACCTCCGTGCTGGGCATGCGTCCCCTCCCCACGAGCCCCCCAGGGGGGCGCTCCACCCAGTTTCAGAGTGGACGCTCGTCGGAGTAGGGTCCTGCCCAACCGT